TGTGCAGGGGGCGGGGGGGGGAGATGGTAGGTGGGAGTTATTGTGTTTGGGGAGCAGGTTTAAAAGCCGGTTTCCCCTGACCACCTGCTTTTGCGGAGCAACCTCTTTCCACCCCTGTGCTACTTCCAAAGGCAGCAAGGTGGAGGGGGGCGAGGGGTAGGCAGGAGCCAGTACACGTGGAGAGACAGCTTTGGAGTTAGGGCAGATCCTAGAGATAGTTAAAAAATTACCTACCATTCTAGAGGCAGGGGTGTGTGTGTGTGTGTGTGTGTGTGTGTGTGAGTGAGAGAGAGAGAGAGAGAGAGAGCGCGCGCATGCATGCACACTCTGGTTTAAAAGGTGCCCCACTGCGTAAACATGTATCTGCTGAAAATTTCAGCAGATACACGTTTACACAAATAAATGCATTTTAATATCCCTAATCTCTAGGTCTCTCTCTGACAATCAATGAAGAGGTTCCTGAGAGCACAGGCTGCTTATCATCAAGTCATAGGACCCAGCTCCCACTGCAAGCAGTCAGAGAACAAGGTTTTTAGCACAGGTGGCCTACACCTTCTTGAAGTCTGTGGGAGTCTGCATCTACACACTCCAAAATACTTTGTGGGAAATTCCAAATAATCCTGGACATAAACATATTTAGTTATTATCTAACATTGTTCACTCTGATCTATTTTATAACTACAGACTTTCTTGATCCTCATAAGGAATGTGTGATTAAAAAGGTAACAAAATAGTTATCATGAAAGTGAAAGCTAGAAGATAATAAAATCATTTAAGTCTAGATACAGTGAAGCACTTAAGTTATGGGACTACTTACATGCTTACAGTCATGTGCACTTGTCTATATTAGGTGTTTACTGAACATGAAAGGAATAGAAAGAGTGACAAATATGGCTCTGATTAACTCTGAAACCTCCTAAAAGCCCGCACACAAATGCATACCACATTGAATTTACTTCAGTCAAAATTAAGATTTTGCTCTTCGATTTAATGTAATAATATTTTAATTATAATTACCTTGTATACAATATTTATAAGCTCCATTGATGTAAATGATTTTCCAGCATTCTCCTGCAAAACATTTAGGATTTGTTGTTCACGTGCATTTCTGTGAGAAATGTATCCTTGAATTTTAGCATTTGCATCATGTACTACTGGACCATGTCCTAAATTCAAACACAGTTACAAATTTTTAACATAAGAAACTTATTTAGTAATTTGTTCACAAACAACCTCTCACCTTGGTAAAAAAGCTCTGATAAGTCTAGAAATCCTATGGAAGTAGCAGCATCCCTGTACTTACTACTCTGCCAGTTAGGGTGGCTGACTTGAACATATTTAAAACCAGCACTACAGCAGGAGTGTTGGAACCTCTTCTCTCCTACCTTTTTCCTCCTCCAAAAGCCCCATTCCTACTTTTCCCCTGAGGCTTCACTCCTGAGTAGGGATTGGAATAGGTGATGACCCAGCACCTCACCAGCTCAGTGACCAGACTTTGGGTGTCCAGTCAGCAGATCTGATCAGTCTTGTCAGGTCCCCTTTACAAATCCGACCAGACTTTCTGTTTGAAAACCAGGGACCTAGCCACCCTACAGCTATTATATCTTTGATTCTCCATTACATGTGTTTTATACACCCTGTCTATCACAAAAATTATCAGTAGAATCATTGCCAAGTTCTACTTTACAGGCAATAGTGTAAGTACACAAGTTAAAAGTCTAGAACATGGGAAAGAAAAGAAAGCAGAGGGCATTACAGACCTGGAAAGATCTGAGGGGAAAGGACAGTGCAATAGGAAAAAAAGTGGATACTGCTTGTAGTAAGAGGCACCTTCGATCCTTATCTGATTTTGTGGTCATTGGTGGGGTCTCTTGGAGTCTGCTCTGTTGACTACATGTGCAAAGTCAACACAACAGAGAAGACTCTGAGGGGTAACCGTGTTAGTCTGTAACTTTAAAAAAACAACTAATAGTCCTGAGGCACCTGAGAGACTAATGAAAATACATATAGGCTGTACCTCCCTTAATTGGGACTCTCTAGTCTGGCAACCTCTGTCGTCTAGCAGAACCAGGGATTATTCATGGACCACAGAGCCCAGGTATAAGGAGGTCAGGTCACTGGGCAAGAGCATGGTGGGGGGACTGGCCACTCAACTAGGAGCCCCATGTGTGGGGGGGGGGACACACCAGGGTTGCAGAGCTTGGGATCTGGCAGTGGCTAAGGAGCTCCAGCCCCAGCTGTGGAGCTCGGGGTGCAGCCACGGAGCTCGGGGGTCCAGCAACAGCAACTTGGGAGCTCCAGCCTGGGAAGTCATGCCAGGCAATCAGCAGTGGTGCTGGGCTTGAGCCCTAGCAGGGGGCAGGAGTTCAGCATGGGCCATGATGGGAGGTACCTCCCTTTGTCCAGCAAGTCCCTTCAATCGGGACTGGTCAGGACCCCAGGGTGCCAGACAAAGGAGGTTTAACCTGAATATAGTATCATGAGCTTTCGTGGGTAAAATCCACTTCCTCTCTCATCTTAGTTAGCCTCTAAGATGCTATAGGACCACTCATTTTTTTACAACACAGAAGAGGAGCACACATACACGGAGCCTAATCATTATCATCATTGATGGTGTAGGAGACCCGTCAGGACACTACAATGGTGACTTCTGACTACTACATGGCGCTTTTTTTTTCCACAGAATATTTTTCAGGGACTTGATAAAAAGAACTCTATGAAAAACTGGAATTTGATAGAGGAAGAATAAAGAACTGTCAAGAATGGTTACATATTGTCCATGTGAAATTTGATCAAATTTGGCATATGATGTATTTTTTGGTCACATTCAGATAAACTGAAAATCCTACAATTATAAAACTGCTTTGAAACCAAACTAGCAAAAGAGATAATCATTTTTATCTATGAAGCAGCAATCTGTTATATTACCCTGATATAAAATACTAAGAAAGTATAATTGTTTTGGTTTGTACAATATACTCATGAACAGGAGTGGGCAAAATCCGCCCCGCCACGCACGTGGATCTGACCCACGGAGGCCCTGCTGCTCCCCTGTCCGCAGGTCATAATTGGCCTGGGGAAGCACATGAAGCACTTGTAGGGCAGGGGGCAGAGTGGAGAAGGCTTCATGCTCTCCTCCGCCCCCAGGCCTGGGCACGGGGGAGCTGTATGAAGCTTCCTTCGCCCTGCGGCACTTCAAAGCATCATGTGCTCCTGGCAGGGTGGGAGGAGGCTTCATGCGCTCCCCCGCCCCCAGGCCAATTAAGGCCAGGGGGCGGGGGAGTGCACGAAGCCTTCTCTGCTCTGCCCCCACCATGCGAGCAGCACGCAGCGCTTCAAAGAGCCATGTGCTCCTGGCAGGGTGGGAGGAGGTGTCGCGTGCTTCCCCGCCCCCAGGCCAATTATGGTCTGGGGGTGGGGTAGCTCCACCCTTTCCATTTAGGCCCCACCCCTTCAGGGGTGGCCCCAGACTACTTCAAAATTTTTTGAAGTGGCCCCTGGGGAAAGCTTATTGCCCACCCCTGCTCATGTATATATGTAAACATAATTTGAATGATGCCTTATTTCTGGAGAAATCAATAGTCAACATATTAGGAAACTCTTCTTTTTTGTGTCAAGATGCAGAAAAATGATATACAGTATAGTGTACAGAAGTAAGAAAGGCACATACATAACAGTTGCTAACAGTTAAGGCTGCAGCTAGGGGTCTTTCATAAGATTAAAATTATTGGGATGTTCAGAAGTAAACAGTTTTGAAGTTCTTTTGAGCTCCTTTTTCAGAATTTTTTTCAAACCACACTTGTGTTTCTGAGACAGTATAGTAAATTAATCAAACCAGGTTTTAGTTCTAGGACCTTTAAAACAAAGAAACTTTTTTGAAATTCTGACCACCATGACTTTTCAGCTCCTTAGTATTTCTCCCAAAACCTTCTGAAATCACGATGTCCTAGGAAGGAATGGGGCTGATGTTACACAAAGTCTTTACAATTCAAAGACTAGTGGCCTAATTCTTCACTATCTTTCATTCTGTGTAGTAACTAACATCTGTATGAAGTGGATGGAAAACACTGCCATATCAAAATGGTAACATTTATATTTGGTGGTCCACAGGTCTAGGGTGAACATGTTTCCCTATGCAGAATACAGGACAAATTCCAACTGGTTGCCTGTTTGGCTTAAAATTTCCCCATGCCTCTACAGGACTTACTATTTTAGGGACTGTGGGAGCTTGGGGCTTTAGGTCCGCAGGGCAGCTGCTGGCACTCAGGGCTTCAGCCCTGCAGGAAGGGGAGGGGAGGACCACCATCGGCATGCAGGGCTTCACCCTGCAAAGGGCATGGGGGAGCCACTAGAGCTCAGGGCTTCAGCCCTACAGGAGCTTCCCTTCTCTACAATAGGAAGGGAGGAAAAGGGAGCCCTCAGAGCTTCAGCCCTGCAGGAGAAAGAGGGGAGAAGGGCTATCGGCACTTAGGGCTTTAGCCCTGCAGGGGGCGGGGGAAGAGCCACTAGTGCATAGGACTCCAGCGTCTGGAGCTCTGAGTGCTGGCGGCTCCCCACCCACCTTGCCCCTCTGCAGGGATGAAGTTCATCCCGGCAGCAGGCAGAGTGGGGGAGGGGAGCTGCCAGTGCTTGGGGCTTCAGTGGCTGAAGCCCTCAGAGCTGGCAGCTCATCCCCCGCCCCTGCAGGGGAAATATAGGACAATGTGTCCATTTTTTTTTAAAGTTGGGATGCTGGGAGGAGGCGTTAAATAAGGGACTGTCCTGTAAAAACGGGACGGATGGTCATCCTACATAGGTCCCAGACTCTATTTTGTCTCAGAAGAGGCATTTTGGAACAAAAGAACTTGCCCTCTTCAGTGCCTGAAGGCATACATGACAAAGACTACTATCAAAATAGTCCAGGCTAACATAGTAAGTCCTGTAGAGGCATGGTGAAATTTTAAGCCAAACAGGCAACCAGTTGGAATTTGTACCTTTGGCATAAGTTCATCAAGTCTTTTCTGTACAAAAAGTTTATACAGCTTAAACTACATACTGACTTCAGCACACAGAGATATATGCATTTAATATTATGCACTGAAGCCTATTTTATGCACGTAAGACTTATTGTTGAAATGTGTGTGCTTTTAGTATAATACTTTTAAAGTAAAAATCTCAGACAAAAAGTATCTTTTTATCAAAGCTCTTTTTCCTTAACAAAATAACTGTTCGAAATGAAACATAACAATGATATTACTATTAATCAAAGATAGCAAAAATTAAGATGTGGTGAATACCTGTTGTAATATAGTAACAGTTCATTTGGTCAAAGTCTATAAAATCTTAGTTCTCAATCACAAGATATAGCTATCAACAAACCTGTCCCTTTAATGTAAAAAAAAACAACAACCCCATACTCCACCTACAAAATAGACTTGAGGCCAATGTTTGAATAGGAAAACTGAACCAAAATTTGCAAATATCAGTGTTCATATCCCATATGCCAGCTCAGCTCCAACAGCCATGTACATGTACTCATACACATACTTGTGATACTGGTCCAAAATTGAGACATTTGGAACCAATTTGGATATGAACCTGTCCAAACTTTTGGGCACACACAAATCTATGGTTTTGGTTTGAACTCTTTTCCATTTCAACATAAAAACTCTATCAATAAATCTAATAACCAATTTGCAGAAAACTATAAATACATTTAGAGATCTATTCTACATATATATTTTAATGAAAGTGTCTTAGCTTTTTAATAGTTTAGACCTTATGCAAACACTTGTCTGTAGGACCCTACATATCCATATGCCTCCCATTATAGCATCTTAATGTTAATTCCTTAACCATAAAGGAATCTATTTTCATCACACCCCTAATAAAGTGGTATCATTACCTACACATTACAGGCAGAGAGAGATAAAAGTGACATTCAAGCTACATACAAAGTTTTTACAAGGTGCAGGAACTGACCACAAATCCTACCCCCAAAGGATTAACCATAAGACCATTAATTTAATACTATTAAGAAATTAAGATATTTGTCAACTTTTACTACACAACAGGAAAAATTATGTTCTTTACATGTGACACTTATCTATTTAGTAATGTGGGATACTATCATGATTTCTGAATATATGTTGAAGCTGTCCAAGACTATATGGATTATATGAATTAAGGTTTTTTTTTTAAATTACAAAATGTGATATTATACCTTTATACATTTATTTAAAAGACTGCAATAACTGAGAGTGGATTAATATATAACTTTCTTCGGTAATGATTAATTTTCATCATTTTAAATGCTTCATTTTAGGGAGTTCAAGTTCAAATATTCTCTGAAACATTAACTTTAATGGCATTTAGATCTTAAAGCTAAAAAGTTTGTCTGTTAATAACAGACAATCAATTTTTCAAGTACTCACATTTCTTAGTAGGAAGGTGGTATCAATAAAAAAGCATGAGAGCCCTCTTGTGGCTGAAGTACCTTTCAGTTCCCAGGAAATGTTATAAAATGCTAACAGTAGATAGTTCTATTGTATGTTCAATTCAAAACAATATTAAATATAAAAAAGTTACATGGAAAAAATAAAAAGTTCATCCATATAAAGACATTCATGCTAGGCAAATTGCCATATTGGTACAATGAGTCATGGCCTTCTCCTGTATCTAATTCTGATGGAAAAAGGGAAACCTTAAGGTCTGTGTGTGTTAGAGGAGGCAGGGAGCTGGGTTGCATAAAAGAGAGGACGAGGAAAAATAGAGAATAAGGCAGTCAGAGAGGATTCCCAGCATGAATAAAACTGGACACAAATTTAAAAAGTTACTATAATACATTTATCAATCTTAATATAGTAAATAGTGGTGACAGAACATAATATAGAGATTATTTTTATGGAGATTAGGGATGCTAAATTTAGTTTAATCAACTAATCGTCTAGTTGATGGATTTTCCCTAGTCTATTAGTTGATAAGTGGGGGATCAGCAGCACGGTTAGCTCCTGGCCCCAGGAACTAACCCTGCTGTAGTTCTGCCTTTTAAATGTATTAAGACACAGCAGGCTGTTAATACATTTAAAAGGCAGGAGTGCAAGCTGGGCCAGCTGATTCCCAGTTCGTGACAGATCCTCCAGCTATGTACCAGCCTTAAATGTAAAAAGGCTGGTGTGCAGCAGGAGGATCTGGTGTGAGCTGGGAATCAGCTGTCCCAGAGCCAAGTCCCCCCTGCTGCGGTTCTGCTTTTTAAATTTATTAAAAGCCAGCAGCGTCTGGGACTGGGTGCGAACCAGATATCAGCTGATTCCCAGGTCATGTCCCGTCTCTGCCGCCCCCTGCCTCCACTGACCCCCACGGAGATGGTCCTGGGGTTGACTGGCTTTTAAGCCAGCTCCCCCCAGCATCAGTTCTTGCTCCCTGCCTTGCTTTCTCTATTAGAGGCAGCAAGGGATGGGGGAAGCGACTAGTCAAGGGGCTAGTCCACTAGTCACTTACATCCCTAATGGTGATGTGCAAATATTTTACTAAACATTGATCCACAATGCAGTACGAAGATACCAATGTCCATTGGTCACTGAAAATGCACCATATGCTATTGCTTTTTTATAATCTTAATTAGCGCATGTACTTGTCCATTGCCAACTGTATTTGAAGTACTTTACAAACAAGCAGAAGGATAAGTTCTCTGCCTTTAAGAGTTTATAATCAAGATAAATAAAGACACAGACAGGGGGATGACAAATAGAATTGTAATAAAAAAAGTGGAATTTAACACATAAAGTTTGGCATGAGTAAAGCTAATAAAAAAGAAACAGTCTTTGTAGACCTCGCAAAGAAGGCAATGTGGACTAATGAATAAGGTATTAGACTCAGGGCACCTGGGACCTATTTTGGTCTGACCTAGTATTTTTTGGTCTGACCTAGTATGGCTATTCATATTACTCCTGGGGACGGGGGGGTGAGGGGCGGGGACATTCTGCATCAAAAAATTAAAAATTCTGTGCCAAAAAATTAAAAATTCTGCAAAAGTGATGTGTCAAAATAACACTACATAATGTCTCATAATCAAAATAAATTATTCTGGTAATTTATTTCAAAATACTTTGTCAGCGAGTACAGTAATTCCTCTTTTAACACTATAGATATGTTTCAGAAAATGATTGTGTTAAGTGAAAACGTGTTATGCGGGGTCAATTTTCCCATTGAAAATAATGGAGAAGGTGGGGGTTGCGTTTCAAGCGGAGGTGTCTGTTGGGACCGGGACATAAGGTTGGGGGAGAAAGGGGACTGGGTTACAGCAGGGAGGGAAGGTGTTTGGCTCTGGGGTAGGGAAGAAGAGGAGAGGGGAGGGGAGGGGGATTGGGTTGGGAGTATGCCCCTGTGATGGGTCTGCCGGGACCTGCACTGTGTCCGGCAAAGGGGATGGGGTCGCCGGGGAACGGTGCAGTGAGCGGGGGAACTCTCCGCCACTTTGCAGGGAGGTGGAGGAAGTCCTGCACAGCTGCTGGCGACAGGCCAGCTGGGAAAACCCAGCCACCGGCCTGCAAGCGGGGGCGGAGGAGAGGGGGCAAGGTGTCCAGCAAGGGGGAGTCAGCGGGGAATGGCGCGGCAAGCGGCGAACCCTCCGCCACTTTGCAGGGAGGAGGGAGAAGCCCCGCGCAGCCACTGGCAATGGGACGGCTGGGGAAATCATGTTATTCTGGGGACGGTCGTGTAATTTAAAAAACGTTCCCTAAAAAAAAATCGTGCTATCACGAAAACGTGTTAAGTGGGCACATGTTAAATGAGGAATTACTGTATGTCTGTAACAATACATACACAAAAATTTCCCCAGAGTAGAGTTAAAGAAACCTCTATGAAAACCCAGTTCCTGTTTCTCTGACCCCCATCTTTTCCCACCCCTCAAAGCCCAGCTAAGGGGGGCAGACATGCACAACCCTTACTCCTTAAAGCCCAATTGCACACCCCCAGCCAATACAGCCTAACCGCTTCCTCCCCAGAGCCCAACTACTGGGTCCCCAGATCAGATAAATACCAGCCCCCGTGTCTCCTTCCCCATATTGCAGAGCACAGCCAGGGTCCACCTCGGTACAGACACCTCCTGCCTCCCCAAAGCTCAGCTGCAGCTCCTCAGACATCCATCCCCTTCCTCAAGAGATCCAGATGGGGAAACAGACTGATGCTCAATCCCAAGTTTGCATGGAGTTTCCTGCATGCAACCAGGAACCCTCCAGTTTCTTCTCCCTCTGCTCATTCCAGTGGCCCTAGTGGTGGCTAGAAGCACTGCAGCCCATGTTTCAGGGAGAAAGGAAATTCTGCACACAAAATGTTAATTTCTGCAAAATTCTGCATTGTGCAATGGCCCAGAATTCCCCCAGGAGTACCTTAAGAAGGCAGAAGCAAGAGTATAGTAATTTAATCATGCAAAATATGGGCTATACGGAAGGGAACCAAAGAGAAGATGACAAAGGTAGGCAGGAGCCAGATATGTTATCTTAAAGAACACAAGAAACTTAAATCCTATCAGACAATAAGTTTTTAAACTCAGTATTGACAAAGAGGAGGCACATTTTATATGAGAATTAAATATTTTCTTAGATTAAAAAAAGGAAAGTCAGGGAGACTGAATAAATCAGAGGATAATTAAAATGACCATAACTGGCATTCTTAATCATAGCCTGAGTAGAGAAGCCAGGTACTCAAGGACTATAACCTACTGAACTGACCCTACCCACAATGTTATAAGTGGTCTCTTTAGTTCAGTTTTAGATCTAGTGGCAGGATGGCATGAAGCAGCTTGCACTGATGTTGCCTCTGCTACATGTATTCAGTTACAGAAGATTCGGTTTTCTGGAATATCAATGCTGCACTTTACACAACCACAAGTTTCATTCTCAAATACAAAAATGCTTATGAGAGAAACGGATAGCATTATGGCAGGCACACAAGCAGTATCTTAAATAGAACTGAATGCCCTTTAAGTAATTATAACACGTGAATATTGGATAAGATACTCTAAGTATTATCAAAATATTTCATACTACTAGACTGTAGTATAAGTTTTTGCTTTCTTAGAGGAGATATTCCATATAGATCAGTAGATCTAATTAAGAAAATGTAAACTACCAACCAGGGTATATTAGGTCAGCTTTCATTTGCAACAGAATGTCCAGTGATTTCATGTAGTCATACAAGTCTTCAAATACTGCTGTTCCTTCTCCTAGAATACAGTCACCCGAAAATATAGCATTTTCTTCTACAAGATGCAAGGCCATATGATCATCAGTGTGCCCAGGTGTATATAAAACTCTATTAAATGAAAGGAACAAATGATATTATATGGAACAATCACATATAAACCATTTATGTGTGACAAAAGAATGCTGATAAAACCATGACTCAACATGACTGTCTAGAACAAATCTTTGTAGCGTCTTTATTAGGGTAAAAACAGAGGTGAAAGTAGGCTGGTACAATGTATCAGCAAGAAGTGGACACCAGTATCAGCCCATACATACCCAGGGCCTGGGGCAGATGCCCTTTTTATCCCTCTCCCCACCATTGGCAGTGGTGCTGTCAGACCTTACTAGCAGGCCACTGATGGGGAGAGAGGTGAGCAAAAGTAGCAGCTGCCCCTTGACCTGGTGATTTAATAAGACCTGGGGCTCCATGAAGGGTTGACTGAAAGAGTCTGGTTCCAAGCCCTGCCCCTTCCAGGAAGGCCAGAGCCATTTTCCCCACTGTGGCCAGGATTCAAGCTGCATGCCATTAAGTCCCAGTACTTAACTTCACTCTTGGGTAAGAGAGTTAATTAGAGATTATGTGATTTGGACTAACCTAGTCCACATTCTTATGCTTCATAAACATGTATGGAAACTGGCAAACATAATTAGCTCTATTCTATTCTATTCTATTCTATTCTATTCTATTCTATTCTATTCTATAACATAGGTCCTTTTCACACTTGCCACTAAACACCTTCCATTAGTGCATTATATATGTAACGAGGTGTTTATTCTCTCCACAGAAGTCAGTTTTGTGATTTTGTTTCCAAATTAAAAAAAAAAAAAAAAACAACCACGTGCATATGCATTTATGTTGGGGAAAACAAAGAAAAAACGTGCCTTGCACTTGGAGGTGAAGGTAGTGAGGTTTGTGAATTTCCCTTAGTTCTCAGGACAGCTCATTCAGAATGTAAGGCCAGTCCTTTAGAAAGCTGCCACCCACCTCTATTGTAGAAAGTTCCACTGTGCCAGGGGAAGAAATCTGTCTTCATCCTGGATCTTTGGGCAATCTTTTAGACTTCTGAGTCCAGGTCATTGAGCACTTTGAAGACAAGGACCAAGACCTTGAATTTGATTCAATAGTCTATGAGGAACCAGTTTAGGAAGCGGAGACCAGGTTCATTATAGCTCATGTTGCTAAGGAGACATACTGTAATATTCTTGTATTAGTTGGATTTTCTTCAGAACTGAAGGCTTTATGCCCACTGCTGTAGCTAAGAACTGATGAGACATGAACAAGTGAGACCAGATCATTGTTTACCAGGATGGGACAGAATCTCCAAGCCAACCAGAAATGGTTTAAAGCCTTACTTATGGATGCTGCTATGTAAAAGCTTAGCATCAGCAAGGAATCCAAGAGCACTCCTAAATGATAGACTTGACCCAGTAATGGGTGCATGCCTTCAACTGAAGGGGACAGTACCTGGCTGCAAATTGTTCAAAATGTTCTTCTTTGCCCTTATAACCTCTACCTTTCTCTGCTTCATCTTCAACCTGCTGTTCTTCATTCTTTATCTGATCTTGTCCAGGCACTGGGAAGGCCATTTTAGGAGAAATGGTATGTTTTCAGTAATGTAAGTATTTAAACAGCAAGCCCTTTATTACCCTTCACATGACTGATCTTTTTTTCTCTTCAAAATTTATTTTTAACATATGAAATGCTTTCCAACAGATATTCTTTTACTACCTGCAATCAATCTTGCAGCCAACTTACTGCTGTGTTCTACAACATTTAAGTGGTTTAATTTACCACTGACTTGACAGGCACTATCTCTAAGTAAGGAAAGGAAGCAGGAAGTTTCTTTAAAATTGAAAGGAGCAGGGCAATATTGTTGGGAGAATTCTGGAGAGAAAAGGGTAAAGGAATTTTTAATATAAGAAGGAATTCCCAGGAAAAGCAATCTGCTGCTAATATTTCTTGTACAGTGTTTATCACAACTTCTAAGAACACAATATATTTCCGTTTGAAACTGTTCAATTATTCAGTAATTTTATTGCTTCCCAACTACAGTGAACAATTGTGAACAGGGTGGTTTAAGAAATACTGTTTAATTACAAGTGAATAATCCCCCTATGTAGATTTTTTCAAAAGATTAACAGCACATGCATCCTCTTTGAAGAAATCTTTTCACCATAAGAATGACACCCACAAAGAGTCATCTCACCACCAAAAAAAACCCCTCTACCAACAAAAAATTGTTACCCTTAAAATGTAACCTCAAATAAACAGTAGATGAGAGGAAACATTCTTAGTCTTAAAAGCTGACTTAACCAACTAAAGCCTTGTTTACACTGGAAGGTTTTATTGATAAAAATCTGCCTTTTGGCAATAACAAAGAGCGTTTACATTACAATTCACATTTTGTTGGAAAAAACATCCAGTTCTGGCGACAAAAAACTTCTACCCCCACAAGAGACTTTAGTTCCCCTCCCCCCCCACTTATTGTCAACAAAGAGCTAGTGTGGACTCTGCTGCTTGTTTTGTCAAGAGAACTAGCTTCCGCCAATATCCCACATCTGCCCTGACGGCTATGCACAGTGTTTTGTGATCCTAGTTGCCCTGCAGCCATGTGCCCCTCCCCTTTCAAAGCTCCAGGAACTATGTGACAACTGAGTGAGTTGCTCTGTTTGTGGGGGGAAAAAGAGCAAGTCATTGGAATTCTTCTACATGTTCTGCCCTGCTAGGAACACAGCGGCAGGCAGATTGCTGCTGCTGCAGGGAAAAAGCTGGAGAGACTGCTGTGCTGCGTTGATATTCCTCAGCATGGAGAGCAGCTCTGCCTTCCCAAAATACTGCATTGTGGGATACTTACCCACAGTGCTTTGCTCTGTCAACAGGGGAGCTAGCAATGTAACCATGAAATGTCAACAATGAGAGGCAGAAAAACTGACCAGTTTTCACTTTTAGCAACTTTTGCATGTCGACAGCACTTTAGTTGCCAAACCATCCTAGTGTGGATGTAGCCTAGTACAGAACTGACATTTACCTGAGTGTGGCTCCCTCAGTCTTTAACACATCTCCATCTTTCAGGTATGAATACTTTAACTTTTCTCCTTCTATTATTTCCTCATGATGAGGAGTGCGTGGAAGCTTACTTATGCAATATTCAGAACCTATTTTAAAAAGCAAATAATATTTTAGATCATTCATAGTTAAGCCCTAAATAAATGTGAGGTCACTAGCATGGACACACCATAAAATTACGAAATGTCAGTAAATGTACTTTTATGCATGTCTATTTCATTGAAAAGTTAAAAAAATAAAAACCAGCTTACTGCCATAACTACTAAAATTTGTACCTCCCTTAACTGGGACTACATGGTCCGGCATGGACCATGGATGTTTCTGGACCAGAGCACAGGAACAGGGAGGTCTGGCAATGGGTCAGGAGTGCTGTGGGGGCACCAGCGACTCAGCCAGGAGCCCAGTGTCTGCGGATGGGGGCTGGGTGGATGGGCAGCGGATGGGGGTGTGTGCGTGGTGGACAGCTCTAGTTCCACAGCAGCTGTGGAGTTCCAACTAAGGATGTTAAGTATCAACTAATTGACTAATTGAATAGTCATTGGTAAACTATTTCCCTCTCATCACTTATGGACAAAAGAGTATTAACAATGTGAAGCTTTTCCCTTCCAAATATATAAATACTTATTTATATATTGACATCAAGAAACATTTTGGAGTGCATCTGAATCAAACATGTCTTACTATTTACCATACTCATACCATGATCTGTCAGAGCACTGTGCGTTTAAATACATTGTGCAGCTCACATGAAGATCTTAAGTGAACTGTCCAGCTAACAGTGCACCAGAACAGTCTAATTGTATTTTTCCTATCCACATAGCTAACAAGTCATATCTCTTCAATATCTGTCATATTAAACTTCTGCTTACCCTTGTGGATGCTTCTACAAATATCAGATATGCCTCCAGTATGATCATGGTGCCAGTGTGTTACTAAAATTTCTTGGATTGAGATGCTGAACTCCGTCAGTGCTTGTTTTAAACAGCCAATATATTCAGGTATACCTGGCTCTCCTGTGTCAATAAGGATCCTTCTACATTTAAAGAGAAAAAATTCAGTAGAAATGCTCATTTACAAAAGTCATATTAGAGCATTAAGAGACTCTCTGAATGATGAAATCCTAAATACTCAGGGACTTCCCTGAGAGACCATCTTTTCTTGTGATATACTGCTGCAATGCTATCAGCAGAAGTGCTTGAGCTTCATTTTCACGTCATAGGATAGGGGACTCCTGGCAATATATTCTTTGTCAGAGCCCCTAGAACTGCTTTGGACTGAATAGCTTAAGTTCAGTGACATTTTGGCATGCTGCTGAAGCCATGTATTTGACAGGATTTTTGGAGAGGATTATTAAGGATGTTTTTCCAGAAAGACCAGAGGAGATTTTTTTTTTTGGGGGGGGAGTGGGGGCTGGATGAGATATAGGGATGTTTGCTTTTGGAATATTGCTGGGTTGTGCTGTAACCTAAAAAATGAAAATAAAAAACGTGTGATCTTATAGGACCTTACAGTCTGACCAAAATTTTTTTTATGTAGTACCATTGTGTTGTAACATGTAATTGTCAGGGCACCTGCAGACAGAATAAAAGGATCTTTATTTATTTTGATTCATGCTCGAAACATTGGAACTGGGCACAAGCATTTAACAAGACTGTCTGTAAATCGCTGTGGCAAGCATAGAGAAAGCTGCTGCCCTCACGAGGAAACGCAGTGCCAATCCCACCACCCCTTCAGGTAACCAACCACTGGCTACGCTCGACCACGGAGCATCGCGCTGAACTCGGGACCAAGAGCAAAGGAAGGGAAGAGCCCGAGGGACCCAGCAACCCAGCCTACAAAGGGACAATGTTGCGTGCCAGACGGGAAACCGATCCTGCCCCCCAGCCGGCTCTGGCCCCCCAGCCCCACTCGCTAGGTTCCCAGGGTCCCTTAGACAGAGCAAGGCGCGAGAGCCCGGTCCCGTGCCCAGGCTTCGGGGGAAATAAGCCCCGGCTCGGGCCTGGGTTTGCGGAGCAGGGTCAGAGCCGCCGGCCCCGTGGTGCGAGGCCGTTACCTGGGCCCGGTGCCCACCAGGTAGGTGTTGGTCCCCTGCAGGGTCATGGGGCCCGGGTTACAGCCCAGCACGCGCACCACCCGCGCGGAGAGCTGCTCAATGCGCGGCAGCAGAGACGCCATCTTCCCCAACGGCCCCGCCGCGGCGCGCGCCCGATAAAGGAAAGCGGAACGCAGCGCCTCCCCCACGCTCGCGGCGGGGAGCTCAGCGGAGCGCGCGCGCCTGAAGCTCGGTTCCCACGGGGGCGGGCAGCTTCTGCGCGGAGGAAGTGAGCAGCGGTGCTGCGTGCCCGTGGACCAATCGCCTCCTTCCCCGGAGAAGGAGCGAAGGGCTCGCTCAGCTACCCGCTTTAGTTCCCCTCAGCGGGTCACCGCCGCGCGTGGGAAACAGGGCGCGTAGGAATCTGAGCAATCGCGGCACCCCCAATGCCACCCGCCCACGGCAGCTACTCCCCTGGAACGCTCCTCTGTGCTCCAGCTTAGCTGGGCTGGAGCCCCCACATCGGCCCCCTGCTGCCAAGGGGCCAAGTGTGGTCACAGCTACACCCCCCCCGCCTCGTGACGTCCTATCACAGCTGTTAGCTTTGGTGGATGACGTCTGTAAAGTGATTTCCACTGCGTTCTCCTCCCCGAACCTGCCATGTGTTCCATTTTCAAAACTACCCCACATACATTTCAGCCCAAAAGCAAGTTATGTTGCTTGATCTCAGTCCACTAGTGACTTTCTTTAGAGTAGCACTAATTAGCCAAATTTTGAGGCCTAGATGTGAAGAAAAATGATTAGTGGAAGGTTAGGAAATAATCTCTGTATGACACCAATAAACAGAAACTTAGAAATTACTAAATGATAAGGTCCTTACTTTCCTCCATAGCCAAGAGCCACAGACAGAGCAGAACCAGTGTAGTTAGAATGTAACAGTTTGTGCAGGGGATGATTTGTGGCCAAGTGGAGGAAAAAAGTCTTAAAGCAACATTGCAAATAATATTTTTCTTATTACACTCTTTAACATAGATATTGCACCATGAGTGGGTTATGATTCAGTTCTGTGTTTACTCCAACAGATCCTTATATGGCTTGAGGGGAGGTGTGCCCAAAATTCCTTTATATCACTGTTGGAGCTACCCTCCAGATTCTGTGAAATGCTCCACACACTGGCTTGCAGTGTTGTAGTTATGTTAACTAGGGTAATGGATAGAGTGGGCCAGGTGAACAGGCAGTTGGGGGAGGGAGGGTGATCCCCACTCCCATCCCCCCCAATCCCTTTCCTCTGCCCTCCCCTCCCCTTCCTCCTGAGTCCCCTTCCCCTCTGTCACCTGCTGGAGCCCAGAACTCTACCACCCCTTATTACCAGGCTACGTCTAGACTGGCCCCTTCTCCGGAAGAGGCATGCAAAGCAGGCAACTCAGAATAGGGAAATCTGCGGGGGATTTAAATATCCCCCGCGGGATTTAAATAAACATGGCCACCGCTTTTTTCCCGGCTTGGGGAAAAGCTGGAAAAGAGCATCTAGACTGGCGCGATCCTCCGGAATAAAGCCCTTTTCCGGAGGATCTCTTATTCCTACTTGCAAGTAGGGATATTTAAATCCCCCGCGGATTTCTCTATTCTGACTTGCCTGCTTTTCATGCCTCTTCCGGAGAAGGGGCCAGTCTAGACATAGCCCCAGACTCTCTGCTCCAGGCTAATGCCTACCCTGACACTAGCCCCAGAGTCCCAGGCGGGCAGCACTGCTGCATCACCCCCAACTCCAACCCTAGAGTGCAGAATGGGCACCACTGCCGAAGTGTCCCTGACCCCAGTCCTGGAGCATAGGGCAGATGGTCCTGGCACAGCACTGAGGATTGACAGGTGTCTGGTATTGACCCAGACAGTCCGGTATTTTCGCCTCCTGTCCATTAAAAAAAATTCAGAAAATTCCAGACACCTAAAATGTCTGGTATTTTCTGATTTTTTCCCGGCCAGGAGATGAAAATACCGGGTGCTTACCTGGTTCTGCAGGGGAGCAGTCTGGCCTGGAGCAGGGAGACAAGACTGTGGACAGCCATCAGCAGCTTGTTAGGGCCAAATAGCCTCAAAAGCATTTCTTAACGGGGCCATGCTTTTTTTCCCCTCAACAACTTTGGTCTCCCCTGTTTTTTTTTCTCAACAGAATTTTTTCCCCGGTGGTTTTTTTTTGTGGGGGGGGGGGTTTGGTTAAACCATTTGGCAACCCTAACAGCATTCCTAACTGGAGCACCAGCCCTAGCTTCTTCAAGTCCCAGTGGCAGGCTGTGCAGCCTCAGCCCAGCCCAGGCCTGTCTTACTGGACCATAAAAAAGCAGGAACTAGGGAGGTTAGAGTTTAACTTGAGAACTATTTAACTGATAGAGTTTGATAACTTAAACTCCGCCACACTGGGGATTGCTCCTGCCTAACATGAGGCCCACCAAGAACAGAGGCTGATTTTGTCTGGAGAAGCCTCTGTGCACAACAGACCCAAGCTGGCAGTGCGGGGCTGTGTGTGGGAGCCCTGTGAGCTGGAGCAGTTTCCCACCCGGATCCCACTTAATCAGTTAACTGGTTAAATGTTAGGTTAACCTAATGTTTACTCAGTTAACTAATTGATCAGGATTTTATATCTCTAGTGGGATGATCCATGGCGCTTTTCGTATATAGCTGTTTTAGGGTTCCATTGTTGAAGTCGATAGTGGTATCTAGGAAGTTGATGCTAGTGTGGGGCTGTTTCAGTGAGAGTTTAATGGTGGTGGTTGTTAAAGTTGTAGTGGAAATCTCTTTGGATATTGTGATCCAATTCAACAATGGAACCTGACAAAACTAAAAAAAAATCTCAGCTCACCAAACAAACTTTACAGATCCAGTGAAGGTAACTATCCCAAAAAGTGGGAGGCTGGATGAGGGAGGGACACAATTAGGATTATGTGTTATCTTTACAAGCAAAATTTTTGAGAGGGATACTAAAGTCTAGATCTGACTGTTATGATGTTGGTCTGGAAAGTATTATTTCTGTTGATCTTTCATGTGGTTATTAAAAATCTATCTGTGGGACCAAATTTTGGCTGGAGCAGTTTATAGATGCACAGCGGAAATTCCAGACAGCAGTTAGACAACACGACACTTACTGGATGTCCCTGTTCTGGTACCTTCAAAATTTTGCCAAGCCAGTTCTTTTAGTCTAATTGAACAGCTATTTATATCACACTTATCACATTAGTTTATCACTTTCCAGGATCTTCAGCTAGAAGAGGGGCAATTACAGTATGTTGCTTGGAGTCAGAGAGGCTAAGGGTGCTTGTTATGTATGTGTATGCAATGATTCAGCAGTGGCCTTTACACACAAACTTTCCTCACCCTTCTAGATTACTCTGTCTATATTAGAGTGAGGGTTTGGAGAATAGAATTGGCCTCTGCCAAACCAGGTGCCTTATAATGCTGCTTTTTACTGAGCACATGTTCATATGATTGGGGCTTCATTTTCAGCTACCAGGTAAAATTTAGCTCTTGGATTAGGCATATCTGTGATGTCATATATAAAAATAATGGGACCTAAAGATACCTTCGCAATTTGTGTATTTTGGTAGCTGACACTCTCCCACATAAATTCAATTTTTCTGCATAATCCTGAAAGCATGAGAGGGAAAACCTCTTCAATTTTGGTATAAATCTCCCGCAAACTGTTATTTTTTTTTCTCCTTGATTGCTTTGAATGGTAGGATTACTTATAAAATTAACCAAGTTGGTTTTTTAAGTATTAGTGTAAATTTATTCTAATTGTAGATTTATTGAGTCTCTTTCTTGAAATAATCTATTTCTGTATCAGCAAATAATACCCTTTTTAACTTTATGTAGGAGCTATGAAGCCATGTGGTCTGTAGATGGCAGCAGTAATAGCCTTTGAGGAATTAATCACAGGTCATTTCTGCCACAAGAAAGCAGTTAGCCCTCATTTCCAGGACCTGAGTGCTAAATACAAAACTTTGATATCACCCCTCTTACAATATAGGGGTAAGTTTGTACTGACTAAATTGGCTGCTGCTAAGATGTTTTTACAACTCTACTGGATCTTCTAGAATGAACAGTGGTTTTCTTCAGCTTCTCCAACTCCAAAAGCAGATTTGCACTTTTAGTAAAAGAATTCCAAAGATTATTTATTTGGGAAAAATAGTCTGAACAGGGAATGTGAACATTATAAATAAAACAAAAACTAAATAAAAAACAAGTTTTAAAATGTGACATTACATAAGCACATAAGAATGGCCATACTGGCTCAGACCAAAGGTACATGTAGCCCAGTATCCTGTCTGCCAACAGTGGCTAATACTAGATGCCCCAAAGGGAGGGATCACAACAGGTTATCTTCACGTGATCCCTCCCCTGTCTCCTATTTCCAGAGAAACAGAGGCTAGGGACACCTTTCTTACCTATCCTAACTAATAGCCATTGATGGACCTAACCTCCATGAATCTATCTAGCTCTTTTTTGAACACTGTTAGGCTACGTCTAGACTGGCAAGATTTAGCGCAAATACTCTAAACACAAGGAGTTTTTGCGTTAGAGTATTTGAGTAAGAGGGCGCCTATACTGGCATGTGCCTTTGCGCAAAAGATTTGCCTTTGCACAAAAGCATCCATGCCAGTGTAGACACTCTTCTGCGCAAGAAAGCTCCGATGACCATTTTAGCCATCAGGCTTTCTTGCGCACGAAATTGATGTTACCTGTCTACACTGGCCTCTTGCTCAAGAACACTTGCGCAAGAGGACTTATCCCTGAGCGGGAGCGTCAGAGTATTTGCACAAGAAGCACTGATTTCATACAGTAGAATGTCAGTGTTCTTGCGCAAATAGTCGCAGCCAGTGTAGACAGGCGGCAATCTTGCCAATGTAGACACAGCCACAAAGTTCTAGCCTTCACTGCATCCTCTGGCAAGGAGTTCCACAGGTTGCTTGTGCTCTGAGTGAAGAAAAACTTCCTTTTGTTTGTTTTAAAACTGCTGTCTATTAATTTCATTTGGTGACCCCAAGTTCTTATATTGTGGGAATAAGTAAATAACTTTTCCTTATTCACTTTTTCCATACCAGTCATGATTTTATAGACCTCTATCATATCCCCCCTTAGTCTCCTCTTTTCTAAGATGAAAAGTCCTAGTCTTTTAAATCTCTCTTCATATGGGACCTGTTCCAAACCCCTATTAATTTATTTGTACGCAGTGTTCAAGATGTGGGAGTACCATGGTTTTATATATCAGAGGGGTAGTCATGTTATTCTGAATCTGCAAAAGTGGCGAGGAGTCCTGTGGCACCTTACAGACTAACCGAAGTGTAGGAGCATAAGCTTTCGTGGGCAAAGACCCACTTCGTCAGATGCATGTAGTAGAAATTCCCAGAGGCAGGTATAAATATGCCTCCCTGATTGGCTAAATTGATTCCTGATTGGCTAAATTGATAGATCCCTGATTGGATCCACCTCATCATCTCTAGCCTGATTCTGGCCTGCATATTTATACCTGCGTCTGGGAATTTCCACTGTTTAAATTATTCCTAGCATTCTATTTGCTTTTTTCATTGTTGCTGCTTACTGAGTGGATGTTTTCAGAGAACTATCCACAATGACTCCAAGATCTCTCTCTTGAGTAGTTGTAGCCAAATTAGTCCCCATCATATTGTATATATAGTTGGGATTATGTTTTCCAATGCGCATTACTTTACATTTATCAACATTAAATTTAATTTGCCATTTTATTGCCTGATCACTTAGTTTGGTGAGATCTTTTTGAAGCTCTTCACAGTCTGCTGTGGTCTTAACTATCTTAAGCAGTCTGGTATCAGTTGCAAATTTTGCCACCTTAGTGTTTACCACTTTCTCTAGATCATTGATAAATAAGTTGAATAGGATAGGTCATAGGACAGACCCTTGGAGGACCCCACTAGTTACCTCTCTCCACTTGGAAAACTTACCATTTATTCCTACCTTTTGTTTCCTGTCTTTTAAGCAGTTATCAGACCACTAATCAGACACTTATCACATGACAGCTTACTTTACCTAAGAGCTTTTGGTGAAGGACCTTGTCAAAGGCTTTCTGGAAATCTAAGTATACTGCATCCCCCTTGTCCACATATTTGTTGACCCCACCCTCAAAGAACTGTAGCAGATTAGTAAGGCTTGATTTCCCTTTACAGAGACCATGTTGACTTCCCCCAACAAATTATATTCATCCATGTGTCTGACAATTTTATTCTTTACTATAGTTTCAACTAATTTCCCCAGTACTGACGTTAGACTTACTGGTCTGTAATTGCCGGGATCACCTCTGTGAAAGGGATGTGTTGAGGCCTACCCAGAATATGTCAAATGAGCGCCAGTTTAATTGTAAGTAGAAAGGAAAGGCAGCATTCTCAGATACAGGAGATAAAAATAAAAACAAAATTTGATTAGTTGACCAACAATAACCCCGCTTTTAGGGAAGTAAGTAACTTAGACAGCAGTATGCAACAAAGTGCTGATTATCCCAAATGGAGCAGACGAAAGTGTTTTGTAAGGGCAGAATGAGACAACAAAAATCTAACGTCAGCAATTGTCAGGCGAGTGGAGGAGTACCAAAATACCAAAAAAGGGTATATAAGGTTAGGTGAAACAGACCAAGAGTGGACGGGTTGCGAATCCGAAAAGCCAGGTCTGATCAACCAGGGCTCCCTCCCCGGCGCTGAATCTCACTGCCGCACATAAGCTCCGAAAGGGGAACAAATAAGCTCTGAAAAGGGAACGAATACCGGTCGTAAGTTACAACGAAAAATCCAAAGAAAGCAAAAACATAAAGAAAAGAATATCTCCTGAATCTAAGCAATGCTTCTATCTTTCTTAACGTGAGTATTATATAATTGTTAACTCCATAAATTGTTTAAAGGTAAATCAGGAGGGTATATCTGTAGGAGAAGTTATTATTTCTTGTTTTTTTTACTGTACGGTTTTTCTACTTTTTCTTTGTATATTATATTGTCTTAAAATAATCAAAAATAGTGAATTAATTTAAATAGAAAATTAATTATAAAGTACATAGAAAAAATAAATAATCTTTGTTTGACCCTAAAAAGAAGTATTCCTCTGTCTGTGGTTTCAAATCCTTTAAAGAACCAAACCCGGTTACCGAAAACCTCTAGACCCATTTTTAAATATTGGTGTCATGTTAGTTATCTTCTAATCATTAGGCACAGAAGCTGATTTACAGGATAGGTTACAAAACACAGTAATAGTTCCACAATTTCCCATTTAAGTTATTTCAGAACTCTTGGGTGAATGCCAGCTGGTCCTGGTGACTTGTTACTGTTACGTTTATCAATTTGTCCCAAAACCTCTTCTAAGGACACCTTAATCTGTGACAATTCCTCAGATTTGTCAGCTAAAAAGAATGGCTCAGGTTTGGGAATCTCTCCCAATATCCTCAGCTGTGAAGACCGAAGCAAAGAATTCATTTAGCTTTCGGCTATGACTTTATCATCTTTGAGTGCCTCTTTAGCATCTCAATTGTCCAAGGGCTCTACTGGTTGTTTATCTGGCTTCCTGCTTCTGATGTACTTAAACATTTTACTATTACTTTTCGAGTTTTTGGCTAGCTGTTTTTCAAACTCCTTTTTGGCTTTGCTTACTATATTTTTACACTTAATTTAACAAAGTTTATGGTCCTTTCTATTTTCCTCACTAGGATTTGACTTCCAGTTTTATAAGATTTTTTTTATCTGTCAATGCTTCTTTTACCTGCTTAAACCAAGCCATGGCAGCACTCTTTAGGTTCTCTCTATTAACTCATGGCCAGATTTAAAAAAAAATATTTTGGTGCAGATAGGCACATAAACATCTCTAAAATCTGGCGCTCAGTTTTTATCTTTTCCAACAATATGTATAATTGCTGAGAGTAAAAACTTTTCATTGAGGCTAAATAATAGCATTTCTATTGCCTAAATATTGAAATACAATTTTGCGTTTATTATACAAACTTTGCTTATAGAGTATTGTAGAAGACTCCACAAAATAAATCATCCCCACATAAAGACACTGCTAGTTAGGATTTTTTGTTGAGGTTTTGTTTGTTAATTTTATACCTTTCCAGGTATTTTTAAGTACTTTTAAAAAAAGACATATATGATTTTCTGGCTGTCAGCAGAAATTCCCTTTTAAATGTGTTGAATCCTCATGCTTTTCATGTATTGCATTTTTGCCAGAGAGACTTTTTGTATACTTAAGAAAGCAGTATTTTTTTAACTTATAATGTTCACATTTCCTCTTCAGATTCTTTTCCCCAAAATAAATAATTGTTGGCATGCTTTTACTAAAAATGTAAACCTGCTATTGAATTTGGGGAAACTGAAGCAAATTGCTGTCCAACCATCAAAACACATTCACCTGCCATCTGTTCATCTCATTGCATGAAAAAACAAACTCCTCACCTTTTGTATACATTTATAATGTATCTTTTTGCAAAGACAACTGTTGAACAATTCTTTATTTATTATTAAGTCAAATGTATTCATAGGCTTTGCTAAATCTACATATCTATGTCTATATCTTTTTTGGTCAACAAAATCTTAAGAAACCAGTATTATTTCAACCAGTGAATGTACTTTCCTAGAGGGAATGATGTGAAATGAGACTTAGTTACTAACCTCTATTTTAGAGATCTATATTAAAAACTCATTGGTAAAAGTTTTTTTAAGAGTTATTATTAGAATAATGTGTACATTCATAAGGATTGACAGTTCCAGATAGCTAGCAATTTATTAACTGTATCACATGGTCAGCAGCTGATTTAAGTTTCAGTTTGCATTCTGCCACATAACCTTTCACTTTTCCTGATTGCAAACTTTGGAGACAGACATTGAAAGTATGAGAAATGTCCAGACCTTGAAAACTGTTGATTGGTCCGTGACAGGTATTAAGGTAAGTTTGCATTTTATAATAGTGTTTTAAATATTCTCTAAACAGTAAAGGTCTACTTTTTTAGTATTTTATAGTTTCTGTTTCATCTCAGAATGAGTGAAAAGTTATGTTGGGTTTCAGACTGGGTATATATTTCAGCACAGGATACTTACTTACCTGTAGACTCAGGGTACATCTACACAGCAACATTATTTCAAAATAATTAGCGTTATTTCAAAAAAACTTAGTCCGTGTCTACACAGCAGGTTGTTATTTTGAAATAATGTTGAAATACTGTCAATCTGGAGGACTTCTTACTCCGTCCGACTCCTGTAATTTTCATTGTATGAGGAATAAGGAAAGACAGAGGAAGCGTGCTCTATTTCAAAATAAGTGCTGTGTAAATGTTCCCAATTTCGAAACAATTGCAATTGACGTAGCTCAATTTGTGTAGGTTATTTCGAGTTAAGCCCTGCTATGTAGATGCACCCTCACTGTACTTCTTCTGGATGGTCTCAGCAGATCTTGTATGGTAAGCAAGTTTTGAGCCCAGAGTTCTTGGATCAGGGACTAGAAGATTCCAGGTGCTACAGGGCATAGGAGACAACACTCTTCTCCAAGTTGGCATTGAACTTGTACCTCACATAGCAGAAGATGACACCTTTACTATTGGAAGATGATATAGATCAGTGGTCCCCAACCTTTTGAGGTTGTCGGGCGCCAGGGGGCGTGGCCGTTTGCCCGCCAGGCGCCAGGGGGTGGGGACACTTGCGCGCCCGGGGGCAGGCCCACCCCCATAGCCGCATGCCCGGGGCCCCCCCATAGCCACGAGCCCGGGGCCGGCGCTTCCCCCCTCGCAAACGCCATGTGCCCGGGGCCGACGCTCCCCGCAAGCGCCGCGCCATGTGCCCGGGGCAAGGCCAGCCCCGAGCACCTGGCAGGCGCATGCAAATGCCCCGTGTTGGGGCACCGTGTTGGGGACCACGGATATAGATCAATATTTCTCTAAGTGGTCTGCAGATCGACTCTGAGAAACCTGCTAACTGGCCGCTCTGTTTTGTTTTTTACTGGCTCTGCACCCACAGAGTCTCACAGCTCCCATTAGATCTGGTTCGCCGTTTGCAGCCAAGGGGAGACATGGGAAGCCATCGTCTGGCCCGTACCGCTTCCCATGACTCCCAACAGTGAACCGGAGCCACGAGGAGTAACGGTAGTTTGAACTAGGAAGCCTAGTTCGAACTACCTAGTTCGTGCCCCGTGTAGCCGCGCGGCACAGGGTTCGAATGAGCGGGGATTTAAAAATGGCGGAGCCCCGCTTATGCAAATGAAGCCCGGGAAATTCAAATCCCGGGCTTCATTTGCAATTGCGGTATGCCTACATTACCCTCCTATTTCGAATTAGGAGGGTAGTGTAGACATACCCCCAGAGAGGGTGGACCAAAGACAATGATCAGCGATTTGTCTCCTGCCATCCTTCTCCAGCCTCTGACAGAGGCCAGGGACACTATTTCTATCCCCTGGCTAATAACCTTTTATGGACCTAACCTCCATGAAATTATCTAGCTTCTCTTTAAACTGTTATAGTCCTAGCCTTCACAGCCTCCTCTGGCAAGGAGTTCCACAGGTTCATCAAGTCTTCTTCTGCCTCCGGTAGTGGCCAATAGCTACATTCTTCTTGTATTTTCAAATAGTGATAATATTCTTCATCCTCCATAATAAAAACTGTGCTAGTTAGTGTCCATTACAATGATAGTTAAATCTCAAGAGTGAGTAAAGTGATCCTTCTGTATTGAGGGCTGTATATTCAGATTTTTTTTTTCCTGAAGAAACATATCCATCAGGCTGCTAATTTAAAATCTTTCATTATGTAATGCTATTAGGTTATTAAATACGTGTAAGCTCAAAGTTCAGTTTAACTCATGCTATATTATATACACACACACACACCCAAGTTAATTCCCCTAACTTCCCCTGATCTTTTCAATTTGCACTTGATGTTTGGAAGAAGTTAGTGATGATTTTTTTTATCAGATGAAAGGACTCCAGGTGAGTTCTATGAGTACCTTACTCTACTGACTACAACCAAGCCAGGACTTGAGATAGAAGTAGGATGTAGACAGAACAGGAAACTTGCAATAGCTGGGTCACAACTCAATATTTGATTTAGTCAATATCACTTAAGAACTGTCACCATCTTTCTGGCGGTCTGTCATATTAGCTGTCTTAGTTCACTTCTTAGTGAATGGGTGTCCAAAAAATCCAAAACAAGCCCAGCCCAACTCCCTTCTTCCCAGTCCCTCCAGCTGTGGCTATGCTGGCAGCCCTCAGGTGTTCCTTATGAAGTATCTATATGTTACTGCTTTGGTTGTGGTATGAGCTTGATATTTTGGAATGTCCATATGGCTCTTTTGGTATACTGCCAACTTTTTCCTGAAATATGCACATTAGTGACTAGAAGGGAACTAGTGATTTTGAACAGTTTATAATTAATCAAAAACTGAATGGCATTTAATGAGACAAAGAAAATGCAATTCCACAGCTCCTAGACTCATAGGCTACATCTACACTGGCATGATTTTCCAAAAATGCTTTTAACGGAAAAGTTTTCTGTTAAAAGCATTTTCGGAAAAGCATGTCTAGATTGGCAGGATGCTTTTCCGCAAAAGCACTTTTTGCGGAAAAGCGTCCGTGACCAATCTAGACGCGGTTTTCCGCAAAAAAGCCCCGATCGCCATTTTCGTGATCGGGGCCTTTTTGCGGAAAACAAATCTCTGCTGTCTACACTGGCCCTTTTGTGCAAAAGTCTTTCGGAAAAATACTTTTGCCCGAACGGGAGCAGCATAGTTTTTCCGGAAAAGCACTGACAATCTTACATGAGATCATCAGTGCTTTTGTGGAAATTCAAGCAGCCAATATAGACAGCTGACAAGTTTTTCCAGAAAAGCGGCTGATTTTCCGGAAAAACTTGCCAGTCTAGACACAGCCTTAAACTTTAAGGCTAGAAGGAGCCATTTGTTACCAGATTTGCCCAATACTCTGGGGTATGCTCATTTATCAGGGTTACCCTTATGGGACTGGGGGAAGGTTAACAGTTCTATCAGTGTGCTGTTGGTGCTTACTTGGGCTCTCATATGGAGCTGAATTCTCCCTGCTGCCAATTCCCCCTCCCACTGGAGCTCTCCTGCAGGAACTAGGTTCCTCAGGATGGGGTTCTTCCCACCTTAGCAACACACACAGACACTCACACCCACTAACAGAGCACGTCTGAGAGGACTGGGTACTCAGCACTCACAAGCTGACCCCCTCATATGTCCCTGGACTCAGCTGGCTGGGTTTCACAGCAATGCCACACTGCACCCTCATGTGCCTTTGGACTCCGTGGGCTGGATTAAACAGCACTTTAAGCTGCCATCCTCATAAGCCCCCAGGTTCAGCACCCCCTATCCCCACTTTCACACCACAGTCATTCACAGGTAAACCACACGATGAGCAAACCCCACAGGATTTTGGGCACTACAGGGATCTTTTGCTTGGGTACAAGAAGCGTTGTTGCAGAGCGAATGGGGAAGCCAAAACAACACCCCTTAAGGAAGAGTGAGCAAAAGAGAAAGAAAGAGAGAGAAGCAACCAGCTTAACAATGAAAGTGATTTATTTCTGAGTAGTGAATAGATATCAAACAGTTACAATATTAAATCTAACAATTACAATATTAAATCTAAATTGAAACTGATTACAAACGTTAGGTAACCATATAACAGTTTACACAGGGCAGGGTCAGGAGGCTATGCTTAGAGAGATAGTTGAGAGAGAGAGAAAGAGAGAGAGAGAGAAAGAGAGAGACCTCACCACTCCACGGAGCTTGCACTGATCGGGGTTCCCAGATGATGATGGTAGCCGGGGGTCCAGAGGGCAGGAGAAAAGCAGGACAGAGCCCCCAGCACGATCAGACAGGAGATGAAGAAGTCTCAATGGAACTGATGCAGTTTAAGTCCAGGTATCAGAACAGTTTTCTTGGGGCAAGGATAGGAGTTTTATAGAGATAGTTCAAAGAGAAAGAGGAGAGACAATAGAGACTGATCACACCTGGTTATGGGTGATGTTCCTTGAACGAGCTCACAATGCAACTTGGCAGTTTCAGTATTTTAGATGTCAATAGGATCGTTACTAGAATTGGTCTGATAATGACTAATTTGGGTGTGAGCAGGCCTAGGTTCATTAGCATCTGGAGCAGGGATTTCCCATCAGGCAGTGCTTCTCTGCTTTCGGTGTCCCATAGTTCAGTGCAGTTCCTGCCTTGGAAGAGCTGCTCTCCATTCTGTATGCTAATGAGATGTCCCTCTGTTCCATCTTTAATGTAAATGAGGCTGGGGTGTTTCCTTAATTGTATCACCCTTGTCTGAAGCAGTTTAGGTGTGTCTTCCCCCGGCCTTTTCTTTGCTTTGTCTTTGATTCTAGCAGAGGCCTGAGGGAGGGGAATGGTTTTCCATGAGTGTCACTCTGTAATCATGTAGTCTGACATCCTGAATATCACAGGTCACAGAACCACCCCGTTCCCTCCTGCAATAAACTCCTAACCTTTGACTGACTTACTGAATCCTCAAATCATGATTTAAAGACTTCAAATTATAGAAAGCCCACCATTTACACTAGTTTAAATCTATAAGGGTGTATCTACACAGCAGGGCTTAACTTGAAATAATCTATGAAAACTGAGCTATGTCAATCACGTAGCTTATTTCAAAATAGGGAGCAGCTACACAGTACTTATTTAGAAATAGAGCACTCTTCCTCTGTCTTTCCTTATTCCTCATACAATGAGGGTTACTGGAGTCAAAGTAAGAAGTCCTCCACCTTGACAGTATTTTGACACTATTTTGTAATAGCTGCCTGAAGTGTAGATGTGTACTAAGTTATTTTGGAATAGTGCTAGCTATTTTGAAATAGTGTTGCAGTGTCGACATACCCTAAGGTGACCTGTACACCATGCTGCAGAGGAAAGAAAAAAACCAACCAACCAAACAAAAACCCCCCCCCCCCCCACAATCTCTGCCAGTCTGACCTGGGAGAAAATTCCTGCCTGACACAAAATATGGCAATCAGCTCAACCGTAGGTATGTCAACAGGACCCACCAGCAAGACACCTGGAAAAGACTTCTCTATAATAAAAACTCAGCACCTTCTTTATTTAGCTCCCCATCTCCAGCCATTGAAGATTTTTGCTACCAGCTATTGCAAATGGGTATGGTTGCCAATTTTGTTTGGACACATTCCTGGAGGTTTCATCACATGATATAAGCTTTTAAAAATTATTCTTCCTGCATACTCCAGGACAATCCTGGAGAGTTGGCAACCTTTTGATGTGCCATGTGCCATTTTTTTGGTCCCCACTGTTCCCCTTGGAAGGCTGTTCCATAACTTCACTCCTTTAATGGTTAGAAGCCTTTAGGTTTGAAGTTAGACAAACTTGTTTGTCAGTTTATATTTGTTTGTTCTTGTGTAAACATCTTTGCTTAACTTAAATAACTCCTCTCCCTCCCCAATATTTATCCTCTGATGTATTTATTGAGCACGATATCTCCTTTCAGCCTTTGTTTGGTTAGGCTAAACAAGCCAAGCTTTTTTATGTCTGCTCTCATTTGATAGTTTTCCATGCCTCTGATCATTCTCATAGCCCTTCTGTGCACCTACTCCAGTTTGAATTGGTCTTTTGTAAACATAGGAGATCAAAATTGCACACTATATTCCAGGAGGTCGTCTAACTAGTTCTTGGTGACATTGCAATAACAACTCTCTTTACTGGAAATATTTTGCCTGCTGCACACCTGCATTACATTGGTAGCTTATAGTCATCCTGTGACGAACCAATACACGCCCCAGCTTTCTCCTTCTGTTGCCTCCAACTAATAAGTCTTCAGCTTACAGCAAAAATTCTTGTTAGTCCCTAAGTGCATGACTTCATGCTATTAAATTTCATCCCATTTCTATTTCTCCAGTTAAGGTCCTTCAGATCCTGTTTCATAGTCTGGCCCTCCTCTGTATTGGCAATATCTCTCAGCTTTGTGTCATCTGCAAATTTTATTAGCACATTTCCACTTTTTTTGTCAAGGTCATGAATGAGAATATTAAGTAAGATAGGTTCCAAAACTATTCCCATTAGGACATTCCCTCTGCTGAATATCAAAGGGCTATTGAAAAATAACAGAAGTGTGAGAGAGTCTCAAAGAAAAAAGTCACAAGAATCCTTACAATGGCTCATTAGGCATAAATGTAAGGGCTGTAATCTGCTTCCCCTGATAATAAGGATACATACTCTACAGTAAGGCAGGGTCTGGCTAGTGATTTCTGTACAGGAATCATCTTTCATGTGATCAACCTTGATCCTGTTCAGTAGCCTCAAAAAAGTGTTCCTTAGTCACAGAATATGGGCAAACATGAATAATAAAACTAATAAAATGTGAAAAGGCTTCCCATCGCACCATGCATGTAGCTGTATAACAATCTGTTCAATGTATTATTGTTTTCACTTTGTGGGCCTTCAATGGCAGAAGGGTAGCATATTGAAACAAGCCCAGGCTCTCAAGAATTAGCTGTTCACTGTGGGAGATGGAACTGCTAACGGGGTTGTTGTAGCCATGTAAGCTTCAGAACATTTGAGAGACAAGGTGGGAAGAGATAAAATGGTCTGAAGAAGAGCTGTGTGTAAAATCAAAAGCTTGTGTCTGTCACCAACAGAAACTGGTCCAGTAAAAAATACTGCTTCACCCACTTTGTTTCTCCAATATCTTTTAAGAGACCAGAAAGGCTGGCTTTAAAGAATATTCTGGCTGAGTGAAAGTTTTGGGAAGGAGTCACCATCTTTACCCAATGATGGAGGTTAAAAAACTCACGATTATGCTTGTTTCTTAGCATCTCTTAATTCTACACTTAGGGTATGTCTAGACTACAGGGTTTTGTTGACAGAAATTTTGTCGACAGGTACTGTCGACAAAGCTTCTGTTGACAAAGAGCGTCTAGACTACATTCAGTTCTGTTGACAAAGCAAGCTGCTTTGTCGACATAACAGTGTGGACGCAAAGGACAGTTTAGATGCAATAATGCCTTCTGTCGACAAAAGGCGTTATTCCTCATAAAATGAGGTTTCCCAGCGTCGACAAAACTGCTGAGTTCTGTCGACGTTATGTCGACAGAACTCAGCGGTAGTGTAGATGCAGGTTTAGTTTTGTCGACAAAAGTCCACTTTTGTCGACAAAACCCTGTAGTCTAGACACACCCTTAGAAATGTCTACTGACAAGAAAGTTCCACTGGTACTGGGATACATACATTCAGAATCACTGATGTCAGGAGAGCAATTTCAACTAATCAGAAGTTTATCTTCTTCCATGATTGTTCATGAGCTTCCCCCATACACTCTTCTTTTTCCTTTTAAATTATGTAAATTGCTGGGGGCTTAATGTTTTTTTGAATTATTGCTCGTATTCCTGGTGACCCTTCATTTATTTTTCTTTTCAGGATCCAGCAACCAGGAAGAATGAATATTTACCATCATAATTAAAAAGATGTTTATATGTATACTTTCCAAAATGGATAATTGGCAATGGAATTAGTTTCGTATTCTAGCAGGAGCATTCACATTGAAATCTCTTTATTTTTATTCAATTTTCCATACTGAAAATATACACTGCAACTTTCCTTTATAGAAAACATTATGAGAAGGTTGTATCACCAGGCGTAAGAATGTATTTAGATATGTTCTGAATTCTTCTACTTATGAGGTGTTAGCAGAATGACAATAATGAAAATCAACCCAAGGAAATTTACTAAGTGGAATTTTACTATGTCCGTTCTTGGAATTGTAATCTATATAGCTGATATTGCAGCAGATCTCTGGGTTGCTAGTAACTATTTCTGTGAGAGGCAATATTATTTAGTTATCTTGACATTAGCTTTTAGATTGCTGGCATCAGTAATAGTACAGACTTTTAGTTATGCATGGCTTAAGGAAGACTGTAACATCCCTGATTCTGAGAAGTTCAACTGGATTTTTCTACTTCATTTCTTGCATGGTGGAATTTTTACAAGGTAATATGCCAGTTTTCAAGTATTAAAAAGAAATAATATTTCTTCTAGGTGGTTTGCTTTGAACTTTGTGTCAGCTAATTTTGCAGGGCTTCTGAGTAGGTTTTAACTGATAAACAGCAATAAAATCCCCCAAGTTCAATCAGTCAATCTAAATTCGAGTTTATCCTATAAATTCTGGAAAAAACCTGAAATGCTTGTTTGTATCAAAAGCCTTGTCTATATAGAGCATTATTTGATGAACACAGGGCATGATTTCTAAACCACAATAATATGTTCTGCATTAATTGATCTGTGTAGACTATGTTGGAGCGTAGTTATGGTTCCTTATTGTGCTGTTTGAAATAGTACAGGTTAAAACGCATTAGGTAATGTTACAAAGAGATTAGCCATTATATATAGTATACATTACTCATTGCAGTATGTGCAAAGAAAAAGCCCTGAAAAACTCTAGTTTTTGGACATGTATCTAAAATTCAAACTAAAAATATCCTCCTCCCAAATGAAATTACCCATTGAACCAGAAACCCTATTGTTATATTAATATAGATTCCAGGTCAAATCCACAGCTCTCAGCAACCAAAACTCTACGTAAGTCAACAGAATTGTGTTCCCTTATGCTCATGGTAAATTTGGCTCTCAATTTTTTGAGGTAAATACAAGCCTTACTTATTATTTCATTTTCCTTATCAATAATTACTTTAGCGGTAACTGTTACAATCTTATTTCATTTGACACCACATTCTTTATGCAGGATATATTAATAAAAATGTGGAACAGAGAAAGTTAGTTGTGTAACTGGTAAAGAAAAAAGTGATACTTAGGGGAGAATTGCCTCAGAGTAATTGAGGTGAAAGAAACTAAACCGGGAAAGTCCAGTGGCTACAAAGAAGGTTGAGTCTGGAGGACAGGAATGAGCAGTTACTTGTGGCATTAAACACCGAGCTCTGTAGTATTTGCAGGATTATGCCTATGGTAACTAGAATGCTATGTGCTAACTGGTGCACGTTCAGTAAATTTAAATTTTTTCCTTTAGCTCTACTTGTGGCTTTGAAAAACAATTTTCATTTTAGTTTGCATCTATGTTGGGTGTTCACATCACTTCCCTTTTAAAAGTGATGTGAAAACACTTTATTGAGAAATTCAGAGGTTCTGGACCTTAATCTTTATGGAACGGATTGTTGTGAGTAATAGGTTTCTTGCCAGGAAAGTGTATTCTTGCCAAAGACACTATGAATATGTGATTTACCATGTCCTTCATAGAAGAAAACTTAATTTAAATGCTCCTTAAAATACTCTAATAAACTGTGGATAGTATCCTAAAAAGGTACATTTATGTCAATTGAAAAATTTCAAACTTTCTTTACCCATAAACTTACACCTTGATTACTAAGAGTGAAATAATTATTAAGATCTGATTTTCTTATCAGTGTTTACCTTATTTCTTTACTTTTACCTCTCATATGTGTTCAATAAGATTTGCTTTTGTTTACAGTCAGTTTGACATTCATCTTTCTTTGGCAATGGTAATATTTCAGACATGACAGCGCAGTGGTGGAATATTAATTTGTTTTGAAATGACGGTTTTCATTTTGAAAACTGATGTTAGGTTTTACAAAAAGCTTTGTACAAGATTTAATTTAGGCTAGAAATGCCCGTTATCGGTCTGGCTAAGTTTTTATCCACTTATAACAAAGTTGACTCCCAACTTCACTCTCACATGAGAAACATCTGATTCTCCATTTTTCCAACAAGAACTAAAACACTCTATTCTGTAACAGCAGCCATACTGGGTCAGGGAAAAGGTCCATAAAGCCCCGTATCCTTCTGACAGCGGCCAGTGCCAGGTGCCTCAGAGGGAATCAACAGGACAGATAATCATAAAGTGACCCCCATCCCCATCGTGCATTCCCAGCTTCTGAAAAACAGAACCTAGGGACACCATTCCTGCCCATCCTGGCCAATAGCCATTGATGGACCTAATCTCCATGGATTTATCTAGCTCTTTTTCAAACCCTCTTAAAGTCCTGGTCTTTGTAACATCTCTGGCAAGGAGTTCCACAGGTTGAATGTTCATGTGTGAATAAATACTACCTTTTGTTTAAACCCTGCTACCTATTAATTTCAGTTGGTGAACCATAGTTCTTGTGTTACCAGAACAAATAAATAACTCTTTTCTTTAATTTCTCCACACTGGTCATGATTTTATAGACTATCACATCTACCCTTAGTCATCTTTTCCAATAAGTCCAACTCTTATTAATCTCTCTCACTGTGACAGCCATTCCATACCCTGAATAATTTTTGTTGCGCTTTTCTGAACTTTTTCCACTGTCAAGGTATCTTTTTTTTTTTTTTTTTTGAGATAAGGCCTCACAGTATTCAAGATGTGGGCATACCATGGATTTATATAGAGCAGGGGTGGGGAACCTCAGGCCCCTGGCTTGCCTGGATTTGGCCCCTGAGGTTCAGCATTGGGGAGCCTGTGTTGGCACTCCAGCCCCCCAGCCACCCACCCACAGGGCTGGAACACTCAAAATCTACTAGGCAGGGCCCCCTAGGCTCTGGTGTGCAAGGCGAACATGGGGAGAGTCTTTCTCCTTCTCATTTAGGGACTTGTAACTTTGCTTCTCACTTGTGTACAGTCCTCAACTGATTTTTCTGTGGGTCAGCGGTCCTCTGACTTATTCTCTATCCCATTCTTCGTGATTCCTAGCATTCTGTTTTCTTTTTGACTGATGTTGCACAGCAAATGGATGTTTTCAAAGAACTAACCACAATGTCGCTAAGATCTCTCTCAAGTGGTAACAGCTAATTTAGTCCCCATCATTTTATATGTATGGTTGGAATTATGTTTTCCCAATATGCATTACTTTGCATTAAATATCATCTGCCATTCTGTTGCCCAGTGACCTAATTTTGTGAGATCTATTTGAAGCTATCCACAGTCTGCTTTGGACTTAACGATCTTGAGCAGTTTAGGATCATCTGCAAATTTTTCCACCTCACTTTTCACCCCTTTTTTCAGATCAGTTTTGAACAGGTTGAATAAAGATTGGTCCCAGTATGGACCCTGCAGGACACCACTAGTTACCTCTTTCCAATCTGAAAACAGACCATTTATTCCTACCCTTTGTTTCCTATCTTTTAACCAGGTATCAGTCCATGAGAGGACCTTCACTCTTACTCCATGACAACTCATATTGCTTAAGAGCTTTTGGTGAGGGACTTTGTCAAAGGCTTTCTGGAAATCTAAGTACATTGTATCCACTGGATCCCCCTTGTTCTCATGCGTGTTGACCCCTTCAAAGAATTCTAGTAGATTGGTTAGGCATGATTTCCCTTTACAGAAACCATGTTGACTTTTCTCTAACAAATTATGTTCATTTATGTGTCTGACAATTCTGTTCTTTACTAGGGTTTCAGCCAATTTGCCTAGTACTGAAGTTAGGCCTGTAGTTGCCAGGATCGATTTTAGAGCCCTTTTTAAAGATTAGTGCCACATAAACCATCCTTTAGTCATTTGGTACAAGATGATTTAAAGCAGGGGCCTCAAATGCAATTTATCTTAGAGCCAGTGCCAGTCTTCAAACCCTCTTACTGGGTCAGTGGACACTCCCCAAGTTCAATAACTACAAAGAGATAGATTTTGAGTACAAGTAATGAGGCATAAAAGTCAGAAATGGCTGCAACTAATGCACTGTAGTGTCTAATAAACTATATTGATTCAAGCAAAATGTCTTACCTCATGCTTCCAAAAAGTTTACTGACCAACCTTTACAGGTCAGGACCCCTTCCTCAGAGTCCAATGGCTGCTCAAATGCAGAGAATGCCATAGTCTGAGAGATACAGAGAGAGGGTTCCTTTGGCATGTTAGCTTCTCTTACATTGTTTCATTGCCCTCTTTAAAAACATTTCCAGCTGAGAAACAGGAGATAATCCATGTGGAAGGATGTTCCATTCTTGATGATTTTATCTTTTTTAACTTCTTTAATTTTCCCTTCCTGCTTGATGATCCTGTTTACTACTTAGTATGCATTTCTTTGTTTAAGACAGATGGGTGTACTGTAGAGTTGTCAACTTTCTGGACTGGATGCCATTTGTAGCAATGGCACCTCGTCTGTCTGGTCCAGGAGACTTGGTAACCCAAGTTTGCTGACTTCTGCTCGGGCAGGCTGCAGGGTTTGGAACATGTGTTAATAACTTCACATATAACATTTTATCAGGACAATACTGACCAATTTTCATTTCAATTATGAGTTTTCAAATGATACCTTAAAATTCCTCCCTTATACAAAGATTACTACAATACAGTGTGGGGTATGAATATGGGGTATATTCTGTCACTTATATATTTAGAAATCCTTGTTTATTTTGCTAGTAAGAGCTTAGATTATTAAAATTGAAAGAATTGTTAACCTTTAGTTCCTTAAAAATGTTTTCCTTAACAGTTTTTTTTAACAGAACTAAGTTATTACTGTTATTGGTGCTTGAACAAGAGCTGACATAACCTATTTAGTAGGAGCCTGATCGAAAGCCCATGTAAAGTCAAGCGAAAGGCTCTCAAAGATGTTGGTGGAATTCAGATCAGACAATAGCACAGTGATCAACTCAAATAGGACAAAGTTCTTAATAGTGGATACTGGAGGAAAGGGGTGATTAGTTTCTGCAGGGTTACTCATGGGCAATGTTCCCTATATTTTTTCCATCCATCTTACTCGGTTTACATGAGCAGTGTTCCCTCTAAGCTGTGCAGCAGCAGCACAGCTTCACAGGTGATTAATCAGCCCCGCCCAGTCAGTCAGCTCCATACAGGGAGCCCTGAGTCTCTTAATGGGCTGGGCTGATTAATCACCTGTGAAGTTATGCTGAATCACAGCTTGGAAACACAGCTCATGGGTGTAGAGCACCTGTTTAGAGCAGTTTGCGGGATCAGGGTTTAGGTGAGTTTAAGGATACTTGAGAGACTGAACTTCTGCAGTTAGTTGGGTTACAACACAGGCCTATGGTGGCAGCTGCTATCATGACTTAATATGTAAAATAAAGGACAAGAAATACTTGTCTCTAAACAAAAGCACACACACCTAGAAAACAATTTTCTACATATTAATGAAGCTGAATTTTAAGTCCAGGATAAATTGGAATAAGTTTGTGTTTTTGTGAAACCCTAGACTATGTCAAGATATTTTACAAAAAACTGATGGAAGAATTTCAGAGTAAAACTTCAAAAGTTGCTACAAGTATGGAATTTAGTACAAAGCAACACAAATGTAGAATATAAGTGGCTAGAATAGAAAATAGCACTATTATGTTTAACACTATAGGAAGGACATGGCCAAGTGAAATTTGTCCCGGAAATTAGTTTGTGTGTGAACACTTCTCCCCTATAAATTTAAGATCAACATATATTTTAATTGATATATTTTCATGGATATATTCATAAGTTGGGCTCTATCAAATTCACAGTCATGAAAAATACATCACAGACTGTGAAATCTGGTTTTCCCCATGATATCTGTTCTTTTGTGTACTTTTACCCTATACTATGCAGATTTTACAGGGGAGACCAGGGTTTCTCAAACTGGAGATCCCAACCTAAAAGGGGCTTATGGGAAGGTTGCAAGGTTATTGCAGGGGGGTGGGTCACTGTATTGCCACCCTTATTCTGCTCTGCTACCTTCAAAGCTGGGTGGTTGGGGAGTGGCAGCTGTGGCCAAGAGCCCAGCTCTGAATGCAGAAGAATATTTATAGTGGCAATATCTTACCATACAGCCTTACTTCTGTGCTGCTGCTAGAAGCAGTGATACCTTGAGTGCTGGCCGGGAGACCAGCTCTGAAGTCAGTGCTACTGTCATGAGAATGCAGAAATAATTATGGAAATTCTGCAACTCCCCTACAATAAACTGGTAGCCTCCACCATAACCCCCTTTTGGGTCAGGAACTCTATAGTTACAACACTTGACATTTTAAATTTAATATCTGAAATAATGAAAAATGCCACTTTTAAAATCCGATGACCATGAAATCGACGAACACGAACCATGAATTTGGTAGGGCTCTATTCATAAGGAAATATTTTATTAAAGAAACAAACATTTTTGCCTCCCAGATATTGCAATCTTGAAGTAATATACAAGAAACGGAAAGCAAAATTGATTGAAACTAACTTTAAAAAAGTGAAACCAATAATCTTTGTTCACTATCTAAAATGAGGGAGTACAGAATACAGAACAGCATTAAGAGTGAATATTTAAAAAAAATTGACTTTTAGTAAAGCAAGGTATCATTTGCAACATAGTTCGTGAACTGTGTTATTTTAAAATATATTAAACTGCCAAGATCCCTGAGAGTTATGGTTGCTCTTCTGTAATGAGCAACATTTTTCACACCTGCTCATATGCAAATCTACAGATGCTACATGAAATGGTGGGTTGCTTCAAAAATTATATGTATAAGTTTAATTTCAAATTATCTGCCTGAATGGCCAGAATACTTGCTAAAATATTTATAATTGATGAACATTCTAACAAGAGAATAGATGATTGGGATCCACCACACACCTTATACTTGATCAATGGTCACCAACCAGTAGATTAAGAGGAGTAGTGTCCATTATAAATCTCTCATTATTTAAATTATAACTTTTGCAACTTTTTTGTGCACAAAGTATTGTGTTTGGGCTAAATTAAGAAACTTGCATCAAAATATGAATATTTTGAGCTTTAGAAAGTTGAGGCATTTTGGCATTTTTGGAAACAGGCTATTTTTTTAGTGTTATTTCAGGCACAGATAGAGTCAAAAGGTCTCCTCTCCCCACTCCAATGTGTGTTACAGTTTGATTTGAAAAACAAAGAACTTTGAACATGTCAAATAGGTATCTAAACTGTTGGATGATGCTACTTTGAGCCTAACCTGAAATTCTACCATTTGTAGAATAGTGAGCAAATCTACTATATTTTTGAGCTGGAACCAGCCATCTTAGCTATGGAAGACCCTAAACAATGGGACAGAATGCGCCCTCCCCATTTAAAAAAAAGGCAAAACAAAGTTCAATTTGTAGGGGAATGGCTGTTCTCCCCCTCTCCACTGCTGCTGTTTTGTCAGAACAGGGCAAGGCTATTGGAAGTCCCAGGGTTTGAACCAACTATAATTGAATGTTCTCTCTTCAGCTGAAAATTTGCACACCAGGTGCTTATGAATCTCTTAAAAGCAGAGATTGGGCAAGCACCCTATGGAAAAGACTTTTGCCTTGAAAGATGATAGGGGTGAGACTTACATAGTTACTTATTAAGGGATTTTCTTTCTTGTATGTTCATTGCTAACAGTTCTGAAAGGTTCTTTGCCTATTGCTAAACAATTCAATGGGAAATAAATGAGGTAATTAGCCCTGAGAGACAGTGCTTTTAGAATAAGACCAGCATACCACCTATTTCCCCACCTTATAAACCTCCACTTGGCAGGCAACGGGCCAGATACTCTGCTAATACAGGTGTAACTCTTCATGTCAAATGATCTACAGTGGTTTACATCAGGTAGGAATCTGGTTCAATATCTATTTGCAGCCATCACCCCCCCCCCCCCCCAAAGAGGGTGGAAAATATTT